TTTGTCAATAGTAAATTTTATATTTTAATTACAAATATTCACCTTATACAAGACGCATGTATTATCCTAGTACAGAACTATTAGATGGGGCTTTTCTAATTAATACTCAATTAATATAGAGGAGATTTAATTATGGAGGTCTAACTTATTTGCTTTATATTTTATATTATATCAATTTTCTAGCTTTTGTGGATGTAGTCGAAGTAAGTATACTCTCTTCATACGTACACGTTTTTTTTCTTTCTTCACCCCATACAAATATTATTTCCAAATGAGTAATTTATTAATACAAATCTATATTGAAACGCAATAATACTAATCTCTCAGAATAACAGAGTATTGAAATCGAACTTCAAACCAAATATAAAGACTCACTTTATTAATGCTTTAGAAACTTAACACAAAACTAAAGCTTCCTCAAAACCCTCTTAAGTTATGCCGCAATCTCGGCATCTCCTTATATACTACTTCTAAGTTCCTAAACTCATTAGGAAAACATATCTTAAAGATAAACATCAATCTTTCTAATCCTAATCTCATTAGGAGATATTAAATCTGTAGTTATCTTCTAGTTTAAGTCAACATTCTCCCCCTTAAGCTTGAAATCTCCATTCTTCACTTCTTGAACCCCAATGAGATCTCTCATCTCTTTAAACTTGATTCTTGCAAGTGCCTTAGTCAATATGTCAGCCTTTTGTATTCTCCCAGCTACATACTCCACGTCCACTAACCCATTTTCCACACATTCTCTTATAAAATGGAACCTAGTATGAATATGTTTGCTTCTTCCATGAAATACCGGGTTCTTAGAGAGTGCGATCGCAGATTTGTTGTCTATGCGAATGACAGCCTTCCTTACTATGCCATCCACGATTTCTCCAAGTAGTTCCTGAATCCACAGCGCCTGTTTTGCAGTCTCAGTGGCTGCCATGAACTCAGCCTCACAAGAAGACAACGCAACAATCTCCTGCTTCTGAGAACACCATGTAACTGGACACTCATTGCGATAAAAGATATGTCCGGTTGTGCTCTTCCCATCATCAGGATCTACGTTGTAACTACTATCACTGTAACCGACAAGTCCTTTCTTCCCATTCCTTTTGTAGTGAAGACCAAGTGAACACGTACCACGCAAGTATCTCAAAACGTGTTTTAATGCAGCTCTATGCGAAGTCTTCGGATCATGCATATAGCGACTTAGTACACCTACGGATTGAGCAAGATCAGGCCTTGTATGTATGAGGTAACGAAGGCACCCAATGTGTCTTCTGTAATCCTTCTCATCGACTCCATCTTCTTCTGATGCCTTTGACAACTTTAGACCTGAGTCCATAGGTATATGAGTCGCGTTGCAGTCTCCCATACCTGCTTCTTCCAGAATTTTGGTCGCATACCTTTCTTGTCGCAGTGTTATACCATCAGTAGACTGTGTAACTTCAATTCCAAGGTAATAAGTGAGTTTTCCCAAATCACTCATCTCAAATTTTGTTGCCATCTCTTTCTTGAACTCTTGTACAGCATCAAGACTGGTTCCTGTAATAAGCAGATCATCCACATAAACCGCAACCAACAATAAATATTCCTTCGTTCTTTTCCTAAAAAGCAAAGGCTCCTTTGCACATTTAGTGAACTTCAACTCTCTCAGAATTGAGTTGAGCTTGATACTCCAAGCTCTTGGTGCTTGCCGTAGACCATAGAGTGCCTTGTGTAATCTATACACCTTGTTTTCGCTCCCTTTAACCTCGAAACCTTCAGGCTGTGATACATATACTTCTTCTATCAAATCTCCATGAAGAAACACGGTTTTAACATCCAGATGATGAATCTCCCAATCACTTGAAGCTGCCAACGCTATAATGACCCTTACGGTTTCTATCCTTGCCACGGGAGCGAAGACTTCTTCAAAGTCTATTCCATGACGTTGTACATAGCCTTTTGCCACTAATCGAGCTTTGTACTTGTTTATGGTTCCGTCTGCGTTCCGTTTAGTCTTGAAGACCCACTTTATTCCTATTGCCTTGCATCCCACGGGAAGTTCAACAAGTGACCAAGTTTGATTCTTCTTTATAGATTCAATCTCATCTTCGCAAGCTTCTCTCCATACTTTCTCAGCTTTTGCTTCCTTCCAATCCCATGGTTCCTCATTGACTAGAAGAACAAAACGCTCGAGATCCTCCAACATCAAAACGTAATCGTCTAAGTAGCTAGGCTGTTTTGTTTCTCTTGATGATCTTCTTAGCATTGGTTGTTCCACCGTTTCTGATTCATCTTCTTCCTTGTCACTCTGCGTTTCTTCTTTACCAACGTTGTCATCTCCAACGTTTTCTTCATCTTCACTACTCTTGTGTTCATTCTCAAAGCTCGGAAACGTAATCACATTCTGCTCACTGATCACTTCTGTTCCTTCGGCTCTCCATTCCCAACTTTTATTTTCATCAAAGACTACGTCCCTACTAACAACCACTTTTTGAACCTTTGGATCATATAAACGATACGCCTTTGTTCCTGGTTCTACTCCGAGATGTACCAGCATTCTACTTATATCATCAAGTTTCCTTAAATGTGGCGCTTCTGGCTTTGCGTAGCAAGTGCATCCGAAAACTCGTAGGTGTTGAACGTTTGGTTTCTTTCCTTTAAAGCTTTCATATGGTGTTTGCATCTTCAAGGTTCTTGTTGCCACTCGATTAATCAAATAAGTAGAGTGCCTAACTGCTTCTCCCCACAGAAAGTTTGGTACCTTCATGTGTTTCATAATGCTCCTAGTCATCTCCATCAGCGTTCTGTTGCGTCTTTCCACGACACCGTTCTGTTGCGGTGAGTATGGTGCAGTTAGGTGCCGTTGTATTCCTGCGTTATCACAGAAGCTCTGAAATTCCTGAGAGGTGAACTCACCACCTCTATCAGTTCAAAACGTTTTGATCGCTGCTCCAATCTCCTTCTCAACAATACTCTTGAACTTCTTGAATTTATCAAATGCTTCGCTTTTCTCCTTCAATAAGATGCTCCACATGTATCTGGAATGATCATCAATCAAAGCAAACACATATTTGTTTCTTGCTGCAGTTGATGGTGATATGGGTCCACAAAGATCTCCGTGAACCAACTCTAGAATGACTGAAGCACGGTAATTTGTTGCTTTGGGAAAAACTTGCCGAGTTTGTTTTCCTAAAAGACAGGAAGAGCAAGTCTCTCTCTCGATAGATATACTTGGTATGCCTGTGACGATGTTCTTGCTTATCATGCTCTTCATAGTGTCTACTCCAATGTGCCCAAGCCTCGCGTGCCATATAATCGAATCACCAGTCTTCTTTAGCTGCAGACAACGGTTGTTCTCAACCTCCATAGTTACCTTGTAAAGACGGTTTCTTGACCTTACTGACTTCACTAACAAGTTACCATCCCTGTCGTATAGTGTCAAGTAATCATCCTTCATTCTAACATCGCAGCCAGACTCTGTTGCCTGACCAAGGCTGATAATATTACTCCTTAGGTCGGGTATGAAGTAGACGTCAGCTAGTATCTTCCTCTTGCCATTCTTGCTGATAAAAAGAATTTATCCTTTTCCTTTTATATCTATTCGAGAATCGTCTCCGAATCTTACCTTTCCTGTGACTTTCTCATCAAGGTTAGAGAAGTATCCACGGTTCCCAGTCATGTGGTTACTTGCTCCGTTATCTAAGTACCACACGTTGTCTTTATCGGAGTGTGACTCGAACTTACTTGGCATGACTTTCTCTTCATTTAGATATACTATCTCCTGCATCATTAACTCCTCAGCTTCATGTGTACTATCATTTTCATTCTCATGTGTCTCTTGGAGCTTTAATAAACGATCAGGGCAGTTATATGCATAGTGCCCGGTCTTGTCACAACGGAAACAAACCACACGTGATGTATCTCTCCCTTGTTTCCAATCATTGCCTTGTTTCCAATCACCATGACCGCCAAAGCGTCCTCGTCCTCTTCCTCTATTATTAAACCGTCCTCTACCTATGCCATAACCTCCTTCTTGATGATCCTGAGATTCCTTATTAGCATACATAAGTTTTTCCTGGTCTTCTTGTTGATCATCATCTTGAGTCCTCTCTTCATAAGCTTTTAATCTTCCGACGATCTCCTCAAAGCTTGTTATATTTAAATTTGTGAATTGTTCAATTGCAGCGACGATGCTGATGTATCTCTTCTTTGGAAGGCTGCTCAAGAACTTCTTAACGATTTTAGGTTCATCAATAGCTTCTCCTAGTGCTGCAGACTTAGAGGAAATCTCTGCTAATTTTCCTGAGTACTCATCAATAGTTTCTGTGTCTTTCATCTTTAGTCTTCCAAACTCATCCATAAGAGTTTGTAATCTAGCCTCTCGTACTCTATCAGCTCCTACATGTCTGGTTTTTATTGCTTCCCATATCTCTTTTGCAGTGTCAAGATGACCAACAATCAATAGTAGGGTTTCGGGAATCGATTGAAACAGCAGTGCTCTTGCCATGGTATTTTTATCAAAATCTTCTGCTCCTGGTTCAATCGTCTCCCAAACCTTATGCACTTGAAGCGCTACTTTCATTCTCATGCTCCACACCGTATAATTTGCGTTGTTGAGCATTGGACACTTTATCGTTGAAGGAACACTATCCTTCATCTTTGTTGCCGTGATCAAATCGCCCATGTCTTCTTCAACAAGAAAGAACTTATCCTTGATTCCAATAAAGCTCTGATACCAATTATTGAAATCGAACTTCAAACCAAATATAAAGACTCACTTTATTAATGCTTTAGAAACTTAACACAAAACTAAAGCTTCCTCAAAACCCTCTTAAGTTATGCCACAATCTCGACATCTCCTTATATACTACTTCTAAGTTCCTAAACTCATTAGGAAAACATATCTTAAAGATAAACATCAATCTTTCTAATCCTAATCTCATTAGGAGATATTAAATCTGTAGTTATCTTCTAGCTTAAGTCAACACAGAGATGTTTGATGAAACAGAAAAATACAAACCTCGTCAATTGTTTATCTTATGATGCAAGAACTTTCTGAAGCAGTGAGCCAATTTCTTGAGATATCTCTTACCACCATCGTTGTAATCCACATAAACCAATCCGGACCGGACCGTGTAACCACTGGACAACTCAAAGTTATCCAGCAACGACCACACAAAAAAGCCCTTCACATTGGCCCCAACAGACACAGCTTCCCGAACCATCTCAAGATGCCGAGCGTAGTAATCGATCCTATCACTATCTTTAAGTAAAATTTTACCGCTAATAATAGCTTCATCTCTCCCATTTTCAGTTATGTACATGACAGGATCCTTAAACTTGTATTTTGCATAGAGAACAAGGTCACGCTTCCCCTTTGGATATATCAAAAGCCAATCAGAGGCAGCCTTTGCACCTATGGGAACTCCTTCTCTCACACATGTGTAAGGCCAGATCTGGGCCAAGCCGGATAAAACATTGACCTTGGGTTCTCAAATATTTTGAAGAAAATTATATGTATATAGGTTCCCAAAAAAAAAATTTAGGCCCTTAAATCCAGAAAAAAAATTAGGTAAAATCTGTAAAACAGTGTCTTAGACCCCCTAATTCTCAGAGCCGACTCTGCACCCGTGACACTTGTACAAGGATCAGAGAATAATGTAACATTTTCAGTTGAATAAGGGACGTTCTTTGCGTAAGAAGAGTGATAAGTTTCTTTATCTCGAGGGAGGATGTTGGGATAAAGATCCCACATCAGAATATAAAAGGGACTTAAGTAATATATAAAAGATATGGGCTTCCAACTTAAAACCAATTGGCAGTTAGTAGATTGGTCCAAATATTTTATATATTACTTAAGTCCCTTATATATTTCCAATGTGTGATCTTTATCTCAACAAAGAAGAGTAGTAATTGATGCCAATGAAATCATATGAGCCCTTCAGCATCTTTGATTGCTTTGCCGTGAATGTAGGCAACCGACCACCTTTTACGTTGTTGACCATGCCGACCCGCTATTCTAATATATAATATATATATATATATATTAATAATATCCAAAAATATTTGAGAAAACTAAATTATTAAAAGTATCTAAACTACATAAAATTATCCGAAAGTATTCAAATATAATACCCAATATTTTACATGATTACCTACAATAACCAAACTAAAACTGAAACCAAACCTAGTTTTACTATATGAACTGACTTGAGCTCGAAATTTCCTGAGCGATCGAAACCAAAATTTTAATGATTCTTACATAAAACGTTGAAATTAGGTAAAAAGATTGAAATTTTAGAGATGGGTGATTTTTTTTTGTCAACAATGGATGATTTAATTATGGATGTCTGGCTTATTGGCTTTATAGTTTATATTACTAGGGACCGTCCACCCTGCGCAAGTGCGGAGTTATTACCATTGGTGTTATGTTGTTTTTATCCATGAAGGAGTGACTCATGTGTTGGGAAGTTCTTTTTGAGACTGTGAAATGGATTAGATTATTTATTGATTCATAAAAGTTTGTGGTCAGGTTTTGTAAATGAATATTTGTTGATATAGGGATGGAGTGTTTTATGTTTTGTGTTTTATTTGTTTTATTGGACTTGGGTATATATGTGTATATTATGGTATTAAAATGTTATTTTAACTGTAGTCTATGACTATTTAGTTTGTTTGCATTTGTTTTCATCTAAACATCGAAAGTTCATTTATAAAGAGAAAGGAAACAAAATCAAGAGCTTTATGCTCTTAGTCTGAGTGCATGGCTACAGAGTGAATATTTATGCAATGTTTACATGAGCTATGTTTCTTTAGGAATGCATGTCACCATGTAACATGTAGTGATTGATGCATTTAGTTGCGGACATTATCAATATGCAAAATGCAGTCAACACTGCATTTTTAAAATAAAAACTTAGTAATTGTCCTCTTCATGAGAGGGAGTTTGCCGGAAAGTAAAGAGAAAAACCGAAGTTAAAAATCATATATATACAATGGATTCAAAATCATAACAGCTCTGAAAATTCAGAATAGACAAATTGAAACTATCATTCACGTGTGCATTAGCGGCTATTCTCTAGGATTTGGTTCATCATCTCTTGATGCAACAGTGTTGCTGGCAGATGCAGCTGCTTATTCACCTTCGTTTGTCACTTGTGTGAGAATGTAAACTGCAGGCCTAATAACACAGAGGAAGACATTCTCGAAGGAGGCGTCTGGCTTTTGGCAAATAGATGGTAGAATAGAGGGTGTCAGTGTATGTGGATTGGACTCACAAACCTTTTTTTTATAGAGTCTGAATTGTTCTTGTGGTTTTAAAACGAATAAAGTTTGGATCGTAAATAAAAGGAGACGGGGAGTCGTGGGAGTGAATAGGTTTAATGAGAACAACAGATTCATTAAACATGTGAAATCAAAACGTTGAAATAGGGTAAGCAAGAGATATAGATGAAGAGACAGGGGATGTAAAAGAGGAAGGGGAATGTCTGGTTTTTCTCAAACAATGGATGACACACTGAAGTTCAATAGTCGACGGAAGAGTTCAATAACAGAAGAGACGCCTCATGACCTAAGCCTAAACGCAGAGTTTTGTTATCTTTGGCTAAGTGTTTTAGAATGGGCTTCTAAATATAAATTACAAACTCACACCAGCCACACATAATTATACCAAATCAAAACACATTGATAATGTGGTTGACCGGATGGAATAACACGCAGATCCTACAAGAGTCTTGAAACTCAACCATTATAATATAGTTCCCGCACAAACACGGTTTCGGAGATATAATTGATGTATTCTATAATTTTATTATATCTTTTTATGTTTGGCATATAAGATGGACCGATATAGCGTGTAAAGTCTTTTTATTAGTCAATACAGTTTTCAAAAGTTCTATGTATCTGCAAACATTATGCAGTCTTGTTAAATGTCAAAGGTTCTTCTCAATCTTCTCTAGTTCTCATAAATTCGCCATTTTTTTATATTTTGAGAATCCCATAAACGGAGGCGACGAACAACCATAAACTAAGCAGTTCGATCAAAGTAAAGAAAATCAAAAGTTGAGACGCATGCAACGACTTTAGCAACCAAAGCAAAAGCTGGAGTTATTTTCGAGAAGATGTGATAATATTTGACTGGAAAGAGAATTAATAAGAGAATCAGAGATGAATTGTTTCTCCATTTAGATATAGTATATATTAAGCGTAATGCTGGAGGTATTATGAACATGGTTCATTATTACTTAACAGAGTAAATGGGTATTATTCTGCAATCTTGTTAAATGCCAATGTTCTTCTCTTTCTCATAAATTAGCCATTTTTATGTTTCGAGAATCTCAAAAACGTAGGCGGCCAAGGTAGAAAAAATCAAAAGTTAACAGGCATGTAAGGATTTTAGACCTCGATTAGTACATCTGATAATAAAATAGTAGCAATATGATGTAGAAGCACTATACTATAGAAGATTTATGCTCTTACTATTTTTTTAATAAAATGATAGATAGAACAGTAGCAGTATACAATTTTATAATTATCATAAAATTTAGTATATAATATATTTATAATATATATTAATAACATTTTAATTATCATAAAATTTAGTATATAATATATTTATTTTAAATAAATATATATATTTTAAATAACTATATATTTATAATATATATTAATAACATTTTTAATAAAAATAATGAATCTTATTCAGTTACACAAATGGTTTATATTTTAAATGTGAAATATTAATATTTTAAAATATATATAAAATTTATTTTAAAAATATAAATTTAATTTTTCATATAAACATAATTTTAATATTATTACATAAAATATTTATATAAAATTATATAATTAATTTATTATTTTATTATTGGTAGAGCATTAAATGATTAATCTATTTATTTTAAAATAATATAAATATGTTTATATCTATATTATATAATTATATTGAATTTAGGTTTGTTATTAAAAATAATGATTGATATGTGTAATTATATAAATTATAATATTTAAAATGTGAATTAATACTTTTAAATTAAAAATATTTAATTACATTTTTTGGAAAATAATTATGTATAATTATTTTTAATTTTTATATTTTCTAAGAGCAAATGATCTTCCAAAATATGCATACGAGACCTTTGAGCAAATAGCATTTGGAGAACATTAGCATTTTGTAAATAAATTTCTAAATGTTTTTCTCAAAAATGTTGATTAGATAATAAGAGTATAATTCTTATGATAATACTCCAATCAATCCAACAACATCTAAATCTGAAGATGAAATCATTTTCGAGAAGATGTAATAAAATTTGTCTAGAAAAAGAATCAATGAGATAATCAAATATGAAAGATTCAATTGTTTAGATAGAGTATATATTAACCGGAATACATGGTGTGTTATGAATGTGGTATATTGTTAATTAACAGAATAAAAATAAGAGATGTAAAGTTAGAGTAAGAAAAACTGATTCATGAAAATAGAAACACTCACTCTATGAATATGAAGATCTAGCGAATTAATGATTAATCGAGGATACCTAGGAATTAAATACTTTATTTTATTAATAAAACTATAGTCCAATATTCCTAAAATATATCGTAGCCACCAGACTATTCCTAAAATATATCGTAGTCTGGTGGTAAAGACTTTGTTTGAAAAATAAACAATCTGGATCTGATTGGGAGTGAGCAAAGTACCCATTATAATATAGATTCAATTTTCTAGCTTTTGTGGGTGTGGTCGAAGTAACTATACTCTCTTCATACGTACACGTTTTTTCTCTCTTTAACTCATACAAATATTACTAGGATAAGACCCGCGCAAAGAAATTATTATTTTTATTATGTTTTGGAAAATGAAACAAAAGTTCGGTTTCATCTAGATTAAGGATGTTCAATCTGGATATCGGGTTTCAGTATTTTGGTTATTAAAATATAACTACTATTCTAAATCCATATTTACTTCAGTTTGATTTGGTTTATATATTGGTTTTAAGTTTATTCAAATTTATACCAAAATACATCATTATTTAGTTTGAAATCATATTATAGATTATAAAAATAAATAATATGATCATATATAGAGTCATATTGTCAAAAAGTCATTTACTAAAAAAATATTATATATTTAACTAAAAGAATAAAAAACAAAAAAAAAAAGCTTCTATGATCTAATAAAATGATCAAATCTAAAATTAATATCAAATCTCTAAATTTTGAAAAAAAAAATAAAAAAAAAACAGAAGCATGAAAGAAAAGTTTTTATATTCTTCCATATTTAGTGTTTATCAAATTAATATGTCTTCGATTGAACACAAATCTGTTTGTTTAAAGATTAAAAAAAAATTGTAAAGAATTTCAAGTAATTGTTGTCCATCAAATTTATAATTTTTACTTCAATTTCGTTTTTATTATAAAAAAAAAGAAAAAAAGATAAAAAAAAAAGACGAAGAAAATAAGAACCCTCGGTTGCATTAAATTGTTAGTTAATTATATTTCAAGTGATTCAAGTGATTTACAAATCATAATTATAGTTCAACTCATGTAACAAATAAATGTACATATTTACATGTTTCAGTTTAATCGATTGTAAAACAAACCATATCCAAATCTTACGGTTTTTTATAAAATCACATACATTCGGTTTGTATGGTATATACAAAAAATAACCATATTATCGATTGTGTTAATATCTTTAAAAATATAAAATTAAAAAAAAAGAACTAATATATTTAAATCATTGATAACAAAAATTTTCAATGTGAAAAATTTAATACGTTTATAATTTATAAATGTTTTTGAAAATTCATTGAAATTTTTGAAATTAAAATAAGTATGTAATCTTATATGGTATATAGTTTAATCTATATATATATATATTTTTATTATTCAATGATACTTTTTACTCATATGGTTTTAAAATCATGTGTATCTTTTTATAATAAAAATGTTAAACTATTGATCATTAATTTTTAACATAATAATTTTAATAGTTTTAGTCATTTATTCTTGGTTTTTTTAAATTCAAAATATAACATAAACGAAAAAAATCTAAAGTTTAATTTTATAGCTAATTTGACTGTTTGATTTATTTTAATAATATAAAATTAAAGAAAATTGATGGAGGAGATACAAATTGTTATCAAATATTTATTATTAGAAACTTTAATTGTCATATATATATATATATATATATATATATATTTGTCATTTATGGTAATTCCGTAGCTTGTATTTAAGGAAAGAAAATAAAATAGTAATTATATCTAGCAGGACAATCATAAATGCTTCTATCATAAATATCATATCATATAGTTTGACCAACAAATATATCTAGCGACATATAAAAATCGAATGTGGACCTACTTATTTTTCAATTGAATGTAATTGACTACCTAATTGAGTGACACGTAAGCATATGCTCTTTTTTAATTATTACAAAATTGAGGTTACAATTTTTCAAACGTTTCTCAATTATTATATAGGGGATTTCCAAATGAGTAATTTATTAATATAAAATCTATATTAAAACGCAATAATACTAAATCTCTCAGAATAACAGAGATGTTTGATGAAACAGAAAAATACAAACCTCGTCAATTGTTTATCTTATGATGCAAGAACTTTTTGAACCAGTGAGCCGATTTCTTGAGATATCTCTTACCACCATCGTTGTAATCCACATAAACCAATCCGAACCGGACCGTGTAACCATTTGACCACTCAAAGTTATCCAGCAACGACCACGCGAAAAAGCCCTTCACATTGGCCCCAACAGAGACAGCTTCCCGAACCATCTCAAGATGCCGAGCGTAGTAATCGATCCTATCATTATCTTTAAGTAAAATTTTACCGCTAATACTAGCTTCATCTCTCCCGTTCTCAGTTATGTACATGACAGGATCCTTAAACTTGTATTTGGCATAGAGAACAAGATCACGAATCCCCTTTGGATATATTAAAAGCCAATCAGACGCAGCCTTTGGACCTATGGGAACTCCTTCTCTCACACCCGTGACACTTGCACAAGGATCAGAGAGGAATGTAACATTTTCGGTTGAACAAGGGACGTTCTTTGCGTAAGAAGAGGAGTAGTAATTGATGCCAATGAAATCATATGAGCCCTTCAGCATCTTTGATTGCTTTGCCGTGAATGTAGGCAACCGACCACCTTTTACGTTGTTGACCATGTCGACCGGGTATTTACCAGTGACAAGCGGCTCCATGAAGTAGTCAAATGTGAAGGCCAAGGCTCGTGCCGCGGCTAACTTATCCTCGGCTGATTCCGTGTAGGGCAAGTTCCAACCTCCGTTTAAAGCAATACCAACTTGACCTTTTTGAGACTCCTATTGAACAACATTTTAAGAGCGGATTCTTCACAATCGAAAGTGGAATCAATATTCTAAGTTTATTTGATTCATAAAATAGAATTTTTCTGGCTCGCTAGGGTTATAAAGGCAGTCGAATTTCAGTAACTTGACAATCAAGAAACTGAGCGGATTTTTAATTACTGACCTTGAATTTTTCTCTGTAAAGTTTGACGGCAGCTCCATGAGCAAGGATGAGATTGTGACCGACAATAAGGCTCCGTGGCTCCATCTCCGGCGGTGCAGTTAGAGTTTGTAAATTTGGAGCATCTTCCTGGAGCCATTATACCTAGAGCATATCCTTGTTGCACCACTGTCAACGGCTCGTTCAAAGTCATCCAATGTTTCACTCTATCACCAAAATTCTTAAAACAAATATCTGCATAATCGCGGAAATCATTTACAATTTCTTCCCCACGGAAGCCACCATAAGCATCTTCAAGGCCTTGTGGTGTATCCCAATGAAAAATTGTGACAAAAGGCTTGATCCCTTTAGACAAAAGTTCATTGATCAACTTGTTGTAATAGTTAATACCAGCCTGGTTGATTCCTCCTTTTAGATTCCCTCGAGGCAAGATTCTTGACCAAGAGATGGAGAATCTGTAGGCATTGAAGCCAATTTGATGCATTAAAGCCACATCATCCTTGTAAAGACGGTAAGAGTCATCTGCAATAGACCCGTTGCTACCATCTTGAATCTTCTCTGGATATTTTTCAGAGAAGGTGTCCCAGATACTTGGTCCTCTACCATCTTCATGAGCAGCTCCTTCGACCTGGTAGGCAGATGTTGCAGATCCAAAAATGAAACCTTTTGGAAAATCACTTCTTCTTAATTTAGGTGTTGAAGACTTTTTCTTGGCAACAACTTCATTGGAGGCTAACGCAAAGAGCACTAGTAAAAACATATATTTTCCTCTCATTCTTAAATCTTGTTTTCTTTCAAGAAGGTGAAAACGAAGTGGAGATTTATATTGGGAGAGAGTTGCGTATGCGTGGACTGAGTATGTGAATCTATAAATAGAGAATTCTAAGAAATATTATCTGAAAAAGAGATTATGATAGTGATTATTCTTAAACTTGTAAAATACGGACTAATCTTATCTAGTATCTAGCTATCTGTTAGACGAAGACAGAAAAGTTCAACTAACATATCTACTTATTATCTTTCAGAATAGAAAAAGAAAATATAAAAACATTAGTGAAATTTTTCTCTTCATACATATATTTGTATGTTTTTTTTTTCTCGCCGATCGAAAATCTTGCTAGGGAATGACATTTTTCCAGTGCTTTGAAACCCGACCTGGATCCGCGGTTAAACCGGTAAACTCGATAATCCAAAATAAATCCGGTTCGGATTTTATTAAAAATCTAAAATTTAAAAACTCGCAAAAAACCAGAAAAACCCACTAGAACCCAAAACCCGATGTGGGTTGAACCACTGACTGAACGAATAAATAAACTTTTAATTTTTTTTTAGTTTCAAATTACGTTTTTTATTCTGTTTTATATTCTAAATTTCTAATTTAAAAGTTAGGTTTCCACGTTTTAGTTATTGGCATTGCCGTCTTTTTCTTTTAATTTAGATTAAACTTTCTGACTTTAAATCATACATAATACATACTACACTATTTTATCTGTGATTTTTAGATTTTGATGCAGATTTCACTATGCCACTTGAAGAAAATAAACTGAAGGGTGGTAGCGAAAACCAAAATTAGTTGATGTGATTTGGTGTTAGTTTTATTGATAATTTATTACAACGATGTTTTATTTTTGTTTTATTTTGGATTTGAAGTTTAATTTATTATTCTCATTAGACATTTAAATATTTATGACATTATATCTTGATTTTTTAGATGTCATTACTCTTAACTTGTTATAAAAAAATTTAAATAGTCTAAACTAATTTTTGATATTTTGTATATTTATACATTTTATGTTTTAAAAACATTTAAAAAATATTTAAATTTAGTTTCTATATATATATTTTTTTTAACTTTGGGGGTATCTCAAGGCCATGGAGAGACCCAGACTAATCTCCAAAGGGTGGTGAAGTCCAAGGAGCTTGTTGCCATGAAGTACATCGAGAGAGGTCGCAAGGTTTGTTTCATAAACTTTCTTATGGTATCCTAACTAAATATGCAAAAGTATCAAATTTTTATACAATTTTACAAGTTTTTTGCAATAAAATAAAATCACAAACTAGGCCCCATCCCAATGTATCATGGGTTGGGGTCAAGCCCGGCGCTGGTTCAACTCTCTCTGATGAGATGGTAAGAGACATTAACATTTCCTTAGCCATAATTTCTCGAGGAGAGGGTTGATCCTCTACGATGGGGGCACATAGGGCAGATCCAGCAGTATAAACAATAACACTTGGTTCTGATTACAGCAAGGATAATAGTAAAAACAGCAGCTATTTTGACATCGGTGTTCAGATCGGCCAAGAAGAAAGCAAGCAACATCAAATGACTACAGCTCAACTTCAAAGAACCGAAGGTGAGTGTAGCCTGGAAAGAAATGAGTTGAAAGAAGAAGTCTCAAGTAAAGGTGGAACATATGATGGACACGACAAAGCTCTAGGAGATTAAGGTTGGTAAAAAGTGAGTCTCAGGGCATGGCTTAGAGATATGGATGGGGGTGCAGATTTTGGTGGATGTTCTGCTGTGAGGATTTAGGATATCATTAAATGAACGAGTGAGAGTGATATTGGAGATGATGGAAAAAACTATTGAGAAGTATATCATTTTCAATATAGTTTAGGCAATGTTCGGTGTTTCGTTTAAACGTTGCCGTTTTATACGATTTCCTTGAGTTCTTTTCGAGAAAACAAAGTTTTACGGTTTTTATCGTAAAATTTGAACGATAAGATGGATTGAGACGAAACGGGAGACATTTCGACCGTGGTTCGGGACATGATCGTGTCAAAGGACGTAAGCCTTGAATCGGGGACTTGGGAGATCGAGGCTCCGGATGGTTGGCTCGACGTACGGCGGACGCGTGTCGTGCACGTCCAGTTTTTATTTTGATTTTTATATACGTTTTTCATATATAGTTTTATAACTATAAAAATAAGATTATAAAAAAAAATTTTGGAATGAGGGCCCCATTAAGCCAGGCCCAGTCCTGCAAGTATCCATTAGGTGATGGGGATATTGGCTGGCATGATGGTATCTACTTATTCGATGGCCCTAGGCATCCGTGCCTACTACAAGACCATCGAATCATCCGATAAGACTATGTTTCTGGTTTTTTAACAGTGATATTCTTTTCAATTAACCTGTTCGGGTTCTGAGGAATTGTAGGGCTACCAGGTTTTCCTCTGATTGTACTTGTGAGTGCAATAATCCCATTCTGATGGGTGGATTGACTGGTTCAAAACCGAGGATATTGGGACTAAAATGTTTGGTTTTAATTTATTATTAGATTTCGATCCCTCTTTTCTTTTGACAAAAGTGCAGATATGGTTTTATCATTTTAATAAAATTTGATTGAATTTATAACTTATTTTTAGAAAACAGATAATTTTAATTTTTAAAAATTTGTGTTTCAAAAAAGTTGTTCAATAATATTTGATTTTTAAGTATTTTTTCAAATTCGGTTAAAAGCCGTAGTTGAATGATTGACCGGTTATCCGTATAATAAGAAAAACAATTAAACTTTTTTTAGAAAAACCAATAGAAATATAAAAAACTCAAAATATTAGACGCTGGATGCATCAATACTATTAAATTTGGAACATGACCAGATGATAATAGTTGTATCCAATTTAAAATATAAATGCATCTAAAAATAACTGCATAAATGTTTATATTTTTTTTCTTTGTATAATAACTGCATAAATATATAAATAGGTCATGTTATATTATACAAAGAAAACATGGATATTTAAATTATATTTTTCTTTGTATAATATTATTTTTCTTTGTATATTATACATAAACATAAATTCTATCGAAACATGAACATGACCTCTCTCTCTATATATATATATATATATATATATGTGTGTGTGTGTGTGTGTGTGTTCTAATGCCTCTAAAAATAACTGCATAAATGTTTATATTTATATTTTTCTTTGTATAATAACTGCATAAATGCATCTAAAAATAACTGCATAAAAATATAAATGCATCTAAAAATTATATTTCTATCAAAAAATTATTAATCATTTAAGAAAAATAATATTATACAAAGAAAAATATAAATATAATTTTTTAAATATATATATATATATATATATATATATATATATATATATATATATAAATACTATACACATACATATATAGGTCATGTTCATGTTTTGATAGAATATATTTTTTTTTTAAAATATAAAATTAAATTAAGTTAGATAAAAATTGTTCACAAAAATATATCATGTAGACTAAAATGTTGTCAATATGTTTTAAATGAAAGATAATGTTGTGTTGATTTAAAATTTGAAGTATGCAATTTATATAGATATATTTTTACATTCAGATATAAATACATTCAGATATAAATATATCAGATTGAAGAAGTTTTTGATATCGTGTACAACATCAAATGGTAGAAAAATTTAATATCCATTTTTTTTTTGTCAAATATGAATTTTGTTTTGATGATCCAAATTTATTTGTTACATGTAACATATATTAATTAGTTAGATTAAGTAATTTACAGATACATGACTGAAAGTGAGAGACGTGGGAAGATGTAGTTTGTAACTGAGATTCTTAAGTGGTGAGTGCAGTTATATGTGTTCTCTATTTTCTCAATTATATTCGAACGTTGGTGCCGATTCAGTTATATCTGTAGCTCTTCTTTTATTAAGATGTAGTTATTTTTATGCAGTTACTTTTAGATGCATTTATGCAGTTATTTTTAGATGCATTTATATTTTAAATTGGACACAACTATTATCAACTGGTCATGTTCCAAATTTAATAGTATTGACTAGATTCAGACCCGTCATTTTAAAGGGCGGGTATATCTTTTATTTAAATTTTTTTGAGAAATTTCAATTCTATATTTATGTTATTTTTTAAATAATATTTTTGTTTCTAAATCTCTCTAAGTCTGTGTATTTTATATGGATCCAAACACACGATCCGAAAATATAGGTTTTGTTCTTGTCTAAATAAAATTACTTATTGGTTATTTTTTAAAACCCGAAAATTTTGATTCTAGTCTGGATCATACTTGAGACCCGGTCGAATATCCAAAGCACTCGCTTTTTTTATATTAGGTATGTTTGGGTATTTCAAAATTAAATTTTATATTTGTCAAAATAGGTTATAATGGTTTATATTTACACATCAATTGTGTGCACATCAATTCTGTATAAACATATAAAGTGGACAGTTACATATATAATTCTATATTTAAAATGTGAATAATAATTAATTTTATTTGTGCATAATATTATTTCTAAAATTCTAAAAGTTAAAGTGTTATTATGAGTTTCGGGGTGACGATCTATTTCCCCCTCCAAACTATTGTATCGCACTGTATCTCCATAGACTTTGCCCGTCATCCTATATCCCCTTAAAGTGAAAGTTCGTGACGTATATCCCCATAAACCGAAAGTTTGAAATCTGATAACACTTAGTGCCGGCTAACTTTTGGTTTACTGTATGTAAATTAAACCTAATCATCCTATAACCAATTACACACTCGATTAAACCAAAAAATCCATTAAACCGTCAATTAAAACCCGATTACCCTATTTTTAATGTCCGGGTTCTTCTTCATCTCCCTAAAACGATTAAATATGTGGTTAGTGAAGCTTGAAGGATGTTATTTTCAGGTTAGCTTGGAGAAGAGATTATGTAGTTGCTTGAAATGGGATATCACGGGAATCCCATGTGAGCATGGTTATGGTATAATACTCCATAGAAAACTAGAAGCTCAAGACTATGTATGTCACTGATTTCGGACAGCAATGTGGAGAAAGAATTATGAAGAGGGTATAACACCAATTAGAGGAGCACGGTTCTGGCCAACTTCATTAGCTCCATCAGTTCATCCTGCCCCCGAACCTGATCAACCTGGCCGCAAAAAGAAGAACACAAAGGACAAGAGGAAGAAGGGTATTAATGAATCACCGGTGAAAAACAAAGCTAAAACTCTTAAGCGAGTAATGCATTGTCAAATTTGTGGTGAAGCCAACCACAACTCTCGGTTCCACAAAAAGGTATGCTATTCTTTATGCTTCTTTGGACTTGTATCAATTTGATACTTTTTTATGTTTGTTACAAGGTAAGAAAGAGGGTACATCGCAAATGGAGCCTTCCCAAGGTTCACTTACTCAAGAGATCTAGGAGCTTGGTTCAAGTAGTAGAAGAGAGAGTGCATAAGTTGGTTTTTATGTTTCTGTCTTTCTTACCTTTTGTATGTGTTTCAGGATGTTGATTTTTTATGTTTCTTTCGCACCTTTTGTATGTGTTTCATGATGTTGCTATAAATCTATTTTGAACATCTTAAATTTGGTTTTTCAAGCTTTCATATATCTAAGAAAACCTTTAAATTTGTAACACCAATAACCATTTCATTACTACAAAACAAAGTTCAACATAAAAGATAGCACACAACCACAAAACAAAGAAGTTGAAACATGAAACTCAACCTACAAATTTCATGAGAGCAAGTGAAATCACACAGCCAATTGCCACAGTAATACACATTCTTTTCACACTCTCTTTCGACTCCACCAATGCAGCCTCAACTCTCTCAAATATCTTTTTTTCTAGCTTCATATCCAACCTCTCAAATGCCTTCTTCTCATCTTGTTCACGTTCTTCAAGAATTTCTGTGACCATTTCTTCAAGTCTTCCTAATTTTCTCTGTAATGTCTCTACCTTTTCTAGTAACCCTTCATCAATCCACTTGAAAGCATGGTCATCATTTTCTAGCTATAAACAGAGAATCGAATAGCAATGAGAATAAAAAACAACAACATATAGAGAATATGCACATCGAAATTGTTTCTTATTTCAGATTTAGAGTCAGATTACCTTCTTTGCTACAGGACAGCCACATCGATAGTAACGTAGGTATGGATTGTTCACTGAATTTGACATCTTTGGTAGATCAAAGCCACACCAACATTTCTTTGGCACACCAACAACTGTTGACCTCCTCCTTGATGACCCACTCAAGTTTCCAGACACATTGCTCATCCTTTTTGTTCTTCCTCACGTTTCTCCAATTTCCCAAGATATCAGTTTTCTCAAATTGATTTTTTAGGGTTTGTCATCACTTATGTCGGATTTGGCGTAAACATAAAGGAAATCTCGGGTCGGGTCATAGGTAACCGTTTTTGTTCAATTTGGTTTACAAATGGTTTGGTTTGAGAAGAAATTGGTCTATGTTTGGTTCAAGGAGATTAACCAACAATTTCAACGGTATGGAGATATACATCTCGAACTTTTATTTTAGGAGGGAATAGGATGACGACCAATGTCTGTGGGGATACGGTGCGATATAAAAGTTTTGAGGGGGAAATAGATCGTCACCCCATGAATTTCAGTATAAGTTTGGGATACAAAACATGTATAAAACCGCTAACTAATATATATATGTCTGTTAATTACATTTTATATATATAATTTGATATTTTGATATACATTGTGTTAACTTTCTTTGCATACGCAGATTCCCGTATGAAAAAAAAGAATTCAAATTTATGTCTCCCGGAGACAAAAACCATAGGCAAAAAAAACTTAAAATCAAGAAAAGTATCCGACAAATCACCTTCTCTAAACAACGACGTAATAGTTGCTTCAAAGCTTGTACGTTTTGTATTCTTTACAATGCATTCGTCTTAATTTATTTTAGTGCTGTTCGGTTTTTTTTTTTTTACAACGAAAGGCTGATCTATTACTCAAGCTTGAGGTAGTCTGGGAATCCAGACCGGAATAGAACAACCAACATACATCAGTTCACGATAGAAAGATCTAGTAGTCTTAGCTAAACAATCTGACACAGCATTTTGGGACCTAGGCACATAAAATAACTTGAAATCTGGGAAGCATATCCGCAGCGTCAGGAGCCTCTCCAGTTCCGTCGATAAGCTTGGCCATCCATGGGGGTTTGTGAGCATCGCTATCAATTCCTTGCAATCCGTCCCAAACCTCTAACATGGCGAATGTTGAAGCATATTCTCCATTGTCCACCGCAGTGCTTCCAGCTCAGAATGCAAAGCCAACTCCACCCTATTAACATTACGCATGCCCATCAACTGACTATTAACCATTCTATCCTTCCAATCCCAACCACAGCCTGAGAATTGATCTGTAGAGGTCCAAGAACCGTCTACCATACAGATATCTTCAAAGCTTATGACCTGATTTCCAGCATCTATGTTTCCAGCATCTATGTTTCCTTGTGTTGGTACAATTTCCTGCTCATTGGCTTGGAACCAGGCAAGGCACTCACTATCCGCATACCGGGCTAACTCCATAGGATCTCTATCAATTCCTCGGAACAACTTGTCATTCCGAGCTTTCCAAATGTACCATATTAGCCAAGGATAAGGGTCCCTGTCTAATTCTGGCTCCATTATGGCCTTCTTCCTCCAGAATAGATAATCCATGTTCGCATATGTGCTCTGCAGTGGGAATAAAGTTGAGCTGGTAGGTATAGATGCTAAAGCCCACACATGTAATGCAGGTGAGCATAGAAAGATTGCATGAGCAATTTTTTCTTCCGGTTCTCCGCATCTTGGACAAAAATTGTCACATCTCATGTGTCTATGGTTCAAAGTACTAGTAACAGCCACATGACCCATTATAATCTGTCACATAAGATGACATATCTTCGGGGGAGCTTTGACCTTCCAGACATGTGTTTGGAGTCTTGTAATACTAGGTTCACCCACTATATTATCATCCTCCTTCATCAATATATTTCAAGCGACCCAATAGCCGGATTTGACTGTGTACTGCCCACTCCTTGTGTAACTCCAGCAATGCGTGTCTCTACGATGAGTTGAACTAATAGTCATACTCCTTATGAGAGGTATGTGATGTTCGGTTTAGTTTGCTTTTATTGTGTGAATTCAATAGAAGTGGAGGTTTCAATGTTCTTAATATATAACCGACGACTAAAGTATGAATTGAGTGAAATGGGTCCCGAGATTTTTGGGATTAAAGTGGAGGATTAATAAAAAGTAGTTACAGTATTTTTTTTAAGTAGATGACATGGAAAAAAATGTTGGATTGAACTTTTATGAGTGGAACATGTTCCTATTTTAATAGTATATTGATACCTCCAGTTATGACCAAATTAATCGAGACTAAAAGCAGACCAAACATAAATACAAAACACCTATCCACATCTATTAACCTCCATCCTTGCATTTCCACCCCTTATTTCCTCATAGTCGATAACGTTAGATCCAACGGGTGAAATTCAAACCTGGCGACGACACGGATCCGCGTACTCACTCTCTTAACCAATCAGAGAGAAGAATAAAAAATCTGTCTCTTACGCATCTGACTATAAAAACATGTAAGCAATCGTCTGTCTCTCACCAGAATCTTCTCTGACTCATTACTTTCCCTCAATCACTCCAATTCCCTAGAAAAATGTCTGCAGAGGCAGAGAACATCTCCACCAACGTCGTCTCAGGAGCTAAAGCGAAGAAGACGAAGGAAATTAAACTAAGAAGAAGGCTCCGAAGAAGAAAGCCTCTTCTCCTCCATCTCACCCTAAATACGAAGAGGTACAAGAGATTCGTTTTCGTTTTCTGATCTAAAAAGCTTTTATGGAATTTCAGATTCGTAATTTTTTTGAATTGATGCAGATGATTAAAGATGCGATCACGACGTTGAAGAAGAGAACCGGATCTAAAGCCTGCTAAGAAACCTGCTGATGTAAAGCCAAAGGCGAAAGTCACTGCTAAGCCTAAAGCAAAAAGGACAAAGAGTGTAGCTGCTGTGTCCAAGACCAAAGCTGTTGCGGCGGCAACGCCTAAGGCTAAGGAGAGACCATGGAAGAAGGCTGCTGCTCCTGCTAAGAAAGCTGTGGCTGTGACTAAGAAGAAGGCGCCGGTTAAGAGTGTGAAGTCTCCGGCGAAAAGGGCTTCTACAAGGAAGGTGAAGAAGTGAAGAAGATGATTTGGGTTTTATAGGATATCGTGGTGGTTAGCTTTCTTTAGGGTAGTCTTGTATAATTGAATTTGAGTATTTGAGCTCTTGTTGAGTGTTTCTTGTACCTGGAAGTAGAAAGAACCATGTCTTTCCATATTGATCCTGGCTTTACAAGCAGGTGTTCGGTCTGTATTGCTCGTAAATAGAATCTGCGTTCTCGTTTAACCTTCCTTACATTCTTCAAACAGTCCTATCTCCACTAGCAATGTCTTTTCCTATTCTTTCCATCCTATCATCTGCACAAAACCACAATTCTTCATCACTTTCATTACTTCCAAACATTTCAGGTTAGATGCAGAGAAAAAATCTTTGGAGAACCTTCAAGAGCATTGGTGCAGTAAAGCCTTGCACTGTCAACTAAGTTGCAATAGGCATCTGCAAACCTCTTGTGAGCTCTTCTTCTACACATTATTGCTCTTTTGCATTTATATACATCCTTAAACCAAAACCTTATGTTGAGAAAAACACACATTTGTTTGAAAACTTGGAACACTCTCTCACCCAATGCCATGAATCACAGCTATAAATATACCATCGCACACAACTCCAACTAACTCTATCCTGTATGGCTTTCTTTCCCTTACATCTATCTTCTTGCAGCTGTTGTCTTTCGCCTATGTGTTCCCAATAGTTCTCCATGACATCTCTATCTTTCACCAACCTCTTGTAGCCAGCTCTCATTCTGTATTGCACATTCCTTGCGGTTGTTATGGTCTAATGGTGCTCAAGAGAGTGCTCCATCCATTATCACGTCTCTCCCTCCCTTCATTGAGAGCAGCGATGATGTTGTGTCTGTTGACATTGATTGGTAGTTCCATTCCAATCGTTAAGAGTTTACTAAAACTTGGCCTCTGGATCATGGTTCTTGTAACAAAATAAAGAACCTTCATATCAGCATGGCCAGCTCAGAGCTATTTATATTAATTACATCAGATTCTTTGAAAGCATTAGCTCCTGCCCAAAATGGTCTGATCCGAACACACGCAAGCATGTACAGGGACAAAGATGCGGATAGAGGTCTTTTATTGAATCTTTACTTACTCTTTGAGAATGTCTTTAAGCACAGTGGGGATCGGTCCTTGTGTGCAACTGGAGCCATCACTTATATACATCCCCAGTCCTCAACATATGCAATCCCCATTGCTTTCAACGGTGGAGGAAGAAGCCCTAAGCAAAGACTGACGGTGGAGGAAGAAGCCCTAATCATATTTTGTTTAGAGTTATTATTAGGTTTACCCCTATGGTGAACCTACCATCCAATATGATTGTATTATTTTTATATTTGATATCTTTTAAAAAAAGAAAAAAAAATCTTATTAAGTTATATTATGTTTTTAAAAATAAAAATACAAAAATAAATAAAAAATAACAAAAACGAAAAATATTTTAACACTAAACCCTAAACTCTAATCCTAAACATATGGATAAATCATAAACCTTTGGATAACTTATATAAAAAATTCTTTAAAAAAATTATCTTAACACTAAAACACTAAACCCTAAACTATAATCCTAAACCCTAAACCCTTTGGTAAATCATAAACACTAAAACTTAAACTCTAATCCTAAACCCTAAACCTTTGGGTAAATCATAAACACTAAATTTATAAAACACTATAAGATTTATCCAACTGTTTATGATTTACCCAGGGGTTTAGGGTTTAGGATTAGAGTTTAGGTTTAGTGTTAAAATATTTTCTTTAAAAAGAATTATTTTTGTTTTTATTAATTATTATTATTTTTTTTATTTATGTGTGTATTTTTATTTTTAAAAACATAATATAATTCAAGAAGATTTTGTTTCCTTTTTAAAAAGATATCAAATAAGAAATAATGCAATCCACTTCACTCCAGGTATTCAAATGTGCCGTAAGATATGCCCATATCCACGTGGCCACAAGATAAGATGTAGTGCCTTCGAACTCGGGTTGCTTAGCAAATCCCAAAGCTCGCCTACCACTAGACCACCATCTTGTGGTTTATATTTTCATAGCTAATATATTATTATATAATAAAGTTTCATTTATTATCCCGTGGTTCATCTTCGGTCGATTCAGTGACCTAATAATTCAGTAAGTCGTCCGATTCAGTGTTGGGTCGGGTTTAAAAACATTCATTTTTCTCGTTAAATTCAATCGGTAACCATTTGCTAAAAATGACACAACTCTCTGAGGAATGTCTCATACCCATTTGCAATAAGATTAGAGGTTGATTGTTTGGAGTTTTTAAAATAGTTTTTGGTTTTTGATTCTCCAAAATCCATTTTATAGCCAATCAAGATTTTGGTAAAGTAGTTTTCCTATTTTTTAGGGAAACTAGTTTCTGATTATTTCTACTCTTTTCTACATAAAAGCCAAAAACTCTTTTTTCTTGGTTTCTCTTAGATTTTGCTACGAGCAAAACTAATAACTATTTTTTAAAAATATTTTTTAGTAAATTTAAATAATGTAGTATATAAAACCTAGTTACACTTATCACTCTATAGCAGCACACAAAACAAACGTGAAAGTACATTACCTTTTTCTAAGCAATTGAAGTTAGTTGTTATTATTATTATTTTTTTTTGTCAACAATTGGAGTTAGTTATATCTTCACTACTTATTGAAGCAACTAAAGTTTTATTAAGATAATTTAATTTATTAATGTTTTAATAGATATTATAGCAAACTAATTAGAGTTTTTATTTATGAGTATAATAATTTTGTTACACTGTAATTATTTTTTATTTTTAAATTTTTTTTATTATTTTATATAAAGTTTTTTATTAAAATTCATTCTTTTGCTAATGTTTTACAAAATAAATAACTTTTAATTTATTCAAAAATATGACTATTATTATGTAATATACCATATGTGTAGACTTATATTTGCCACAGTTTTAGAAATAGTTGTAATTTTTATTTAAATTTTAAATTTAATGAAAAATATATTATTTATCTACAGTTATTTAATTATAAAAATTTACAATAAAAAGTAATGCATATATATTTAAATTGTACACATAGATTTAAATTTATGTAGTTAACCATTAATGAATATATATAGATTATAGTTACGGAAACATTAATTAAGAAATTATTTCTACACATTTTACTTAAAGTTTTATTGGATAACAACACATAGTAAATGTACAAGTTTATAATATAAAGTATATAAATATAGAAAAATTATGTTTAAACATATAATTAATTTTTTATTTATATTTAAACATAGAATTATATTATTTTGTTTTTTTTATTTTCAAATAAGATTTTGTGTTTTGGTAATGATATATTTTTATATTTTATTATTTCCAAACTAAAAGTTTTACTTTTAATAAGATTTTTATTTTATTATTTTAAAAGTAAAAACCAAAAACTAAAAACCAAAATCTAAAATCACCATTCATGTTTTTTGAAAAACTAAAATCTACTGCAAAATCAAAAATCAAAAACCAAAATCTAAAATCCAAAAACCAAAAACTAAAATCTAAAAACCAAAATCCAAAAACTAAAAACTAGGAAAACAATCATCACCTAGATCCCAGAGGAGCCCACTTTAATCTCCTTGCGTCATAAACAATCCTGCAGACAAAAAAAACTCATCACCATTAGTCACGGACTCACGTGTCACGTATTTCGAAAACAGACGTATCCGCACGTGCCATAGCCACCGGCAGTTTCCTTTTCACATCGCACAAAGAAGTTTCGAACTCTACAAAACCAAAACAAACAAAAAAACTTTCTAAACCTCTCTCTAACTTCTTCTCTGCTAAGCTCTCTCTAGTGGCAAAGTATGGCGGATTGGGGACCTGTAGTGGTGGCTGTGATACTGTTCGTACTTCTGACTCCGGGACTTCTCTTTCAGATTCCTGCGAGAGGTCGAATCATGGAGTTCGGGAATATGCACACTAGCGGCGCCTCGATTCTCGTCCACACCATCATTTACTTCGCTCTCATAACCATCTTCACCGTCGCTATTCGTCTCCACATCTATACCGGTTAATTACCGTACCGGATATGTAGTTTTTCATGTTGTCTGGTTTATCGCTGTGTTCTTGGTGCCGGCTTGTTTTAAAATTTATGACAGATGTAAACAACTTGTAATATGCATTAAGTTAAATGTTCCTGTCTGATTATGGGTTTTGTGGCTCTGTTTGGTTTCCGGTTTAATCTGGGTTTGTGATTTGTTAGGCAGCGTTGCTTGTTGATGTGAAAGTAAGAAAAAAGTAAACTTGTTGCATCAGTACGGTTAGAATCCGATTTAGACTTAAAGATTTAACATACTTTGGTTTAGCATTGGCCTGGTTCGCTTCTCTTCGGTTTGGCCTGTCTCGGTTCGTGTATATTGTAATTCTTCTTGCTGGAGGTTCTAGGAAATGAAAAAACCTCCAAAGGGCTTGCAAGTACAAATGGGCTATAAAATTTGTTCCGACGCAATAATAAGATGTAACTTATTAACTTGTAACCTTTTTTTTTAACACCACTTATATTAAATTAAAGACCTAAGATCCAAAGAGCAAAATCGATTACAACCGGAAATATACTCGACGATAAACTGAAAAACGAGAATAACTAAGACAAGACGAATGAATGATAGATGTGGCTAAGGAGAAAGGAGACCCCCGTAAAGAAGCTTCACATGTAGTCTTAAAGCCCACATTAGAAGAAACGCAAATAAGTCGAGATCGATGTTGAAGAACCCAATTAACGGGTTTTGAAAGCAAGAAGTCTAGAAACCTCTATAGAAGATAACAGCTCCGGTGAGACGGTTGCAGTATCGACTATGTGAAGAACCGTCGATGCTTGAGACGACATAATGTAATGGAAACACAGAGGTGATGTAGTAGCGATTAGATCTGGCGAGTCCACACTCTTGCACAATAGTTCCTGCGACGAAGGTAAGGGTAGAGGATCGTAGAGCCGATTTTGTGAAGAACTGTTGATGCTTGAGACGGCGTATTGTGATGGAGACGCAGCGATGACATTGTTGCGTGAAAATCTGGCGAGTCCACACTCTTGCACAATAGTTTCAACGAGAAAGAGAGGAGTGGGAGGACCGTAACGATTTTGTGAAGAACCGTTGATGCTTGAGATAGTGTAATGTAATGTGACAGAGACGCAGCTATGATGTAGTAGCGAGCAATTCAGGTGTCTCCACACTCTTGCACAATAGATTGAGGAGACTTTGTGGCTGTTGACTAGTACAATGTCGATTCTGAGACACATCTTTGGGGGGGGGGGTTTCTTTAAACGAAAACTTCGCGACGGAAGATCCTGCGAACAAACCAAAGTCCTAAAAATGGTCGGGGCCTTGTAAAGTCTCGGCAGGGCATGACGGTAGAGAGGTGACATAGATTGTAGAGGTATCGGTGGTGTATAGGTGATGAAGTGTGACGATGGCCGCGATGATGAAGGAGATGCGATAGTGGGGATGGAGAGAGACGAGGGGTGTGACGAGTAACAGTCGCGGACCAGACGCAAAAGATTCATCGGAGATAGTTGAAGCCGTCTCCAGCCAGAGAGTGAAGAGCACCACGACTGTGTCGAGGGCGGTGGTGGTGGCTTGCGGAGTCGGAGAAGAACCGTAGACAGCAGATGCAAGAGGCCTAAGCTCTCTGGGAAAGCTGAGATAATCAGAACAGTTCATAGATCCGAAAAAAGTAGTGGTGAGAGGTGTTAGACGACGGTGAGAGCCGAGGGATCCCATGGAAGAGGCGAAGTCTGAAGCCGAGATCTCTTTACACTCGGCTGCGATGGCGGATCTGGCGCTGAGGAGGAATGACAATGATGAAGCGAGCCGAAGAAGAGATGGTGGCGAAGCGAGGAAGCGGAGGAGCTGTGGCGGAGGAGAGGCGAAATCTGGTGAGTTCACACTCGGCCTTAGTAGATCCGGTGACGAAACATAACTTGGATGAGACGCCGACAGACACACAGAAAAAAAAGTGGTGAAGAAACTGAAAACGAAACAAAAGAGTAGGAGGACGATGCTATTCATGGGGGAAGAAGAAAGACGGCGACGCCGGCGAGCAGAGCCGCCGCCGGCGTCGAGGGAGATGAAAAAATGTACCGGCCTCGTACTCTGTGTCAGAGAAGTTTTTAAAATTAGGGCGAACTGCTTTTACGACGAGAGACTATATTTAATTACTAACTTGTAATCAACTAGGCCGGGGCACAAGACAAGTACCCGACATTTTTGAGATACTTGCTATCTGATTTGGTTTGTTTAAGCAATTGTAAATTTTACTTGTACGTGATTTATTCTAAACAAGTATTTGTGATATTAAGTACTTGTAAATTTTTTGAATACTTGTATATTACTTGACTTGGTTTATTACTTGATTGTGTTTTGTATTTGATTTGGTTTGATACTTATCTTTTCAATTATTTAATCTATTTTCTTTGACTACTTAAACATGAAATATTTGAAATCTAAAACATAATTTCATATACCCAAACAAACTTTCAAGCATAAGTTATTAAGTATTTTAAATAGAAGCTAAAGACAAAATACCCATAGACACTGACAATATACAAAAACTAATAGTTTAGTTTTGTTGGACTTCTGTTCAAATTCAGTATTATTATTAAACACACAATTCTTTTTTAATTGTGATGGAAATACAATACAATTGATAATTTTTTTATTTAAACTAATAAAATTTATACCAAATTTTAAATAAATTAATTATTATATAACAAATAATGAAACAAGTAACCGATAACAAGTAACAAACCAAGTAACAAGTCAAGTAATTAAAAATAAAAATAGACTTGATACTTGACTTGTACTTACAAGTAATTAAATTCGTTTACTTGTTACTCAACTTGATTATACCAAATACTTCTTTTTCCAAACCGAACCGCGTCAAGTAGCAAATATAAACCGAGTATCAAATAATAGTGTCCAGCCCTATAACCAACTGCGAAAAACGCACTTGATTAACGCTTCGATGCCACGCGAAAAAAAAAACCTTGAATCCCAAAACTTGTCGTTGTAAATTGTAGTGAGTGTCATAAACAATGTCTTTTACAATTTCAAGGACGTAAGAGCACCCCCATTAGTGAACTGATGGAGGGAGGTTCACAAGAAAAAAAAAATTGGTTTGCTTTAAAAAAAAAAATAATAATGGACCAATCGCGGACTGCCACGTGGTGTGGGGCCCGTGAAACAGTGTTGATCCGGATTCACCCCAGTGATCCCCCGCGAGCCAGGTTCATCAGATTTATTATATATTTTTTTTTTGGTTTTTGTGTGAAACCCCCCCCCCCATTAAACCTTCAATGGGGGTGCCCTAAGAATCACTACTCAATTTTAAAAGTGATTATTTCAATAAGAAGACAAACTAGAACACTCTCTGATGTTATAAAGAAAAGGCCGCACAACGCAACAATTGAGTATCTTATATATTAAAATAGAAATCATGATTTTTTTATGTGTGATATTTCATTTTAAATTATCTTTTAAAAAATCATCACATTACTTATCCTATCATTTAGTTTTCATAATAAATATAATTACAAATATTTCTTATTAATATCTTAATAAACCAATAATATGCTATATTTAAAGAGAATATATCTTATTAATACCTTATTACTATACTAAAATAAAAATCTGTATTTAAAACCAATAAGTTAAATATAATTAAATATACCAACTGATTTATAAAAGTATTCTAACCTATTAATCTAATAATTATTAACACCATTTATAATTATTTTTTAGGTCATTAACTAACAAAAAAAAATCATATGTTATGCAATCATAATATATGATTATATATACATATGATTGTGTATATTATTTTTAGTATTATGTTATGCAACCATAACATATGATTAATGTTATTATTTTGATGATGTCAAAAAGATATCACAATATGTGATTGTTCTTTAATATTATTAACATTTTTTAATCAAATTAACCATTCTAAAACATATAATAGAATTCATTTATAATCATATAACTAAATTAAATATATTTAATAATATATTTAATATCATTATATAGAATGTTGTTCAAACGTTAAGTCAAAATTGAAAAATAATTTGACATATAAATAAATTGTAATCTATATAATAGAGTGAATTGTATTTACAAAAATAGACGTACTAATATATATAATGAACTAAATTACACTAAATCGTTTTCTTACTTTGAAATTTGATTTGTTCTGACAAATTAAAGAATTTGTTTTTCTATTTTATCTAACCAAAACATCATTAAATATTCACTTAATCATAATTCAACAAATAGTAACGCTAACGGGAGAATATAAAAAGTTATATAAAAAGAAAAAGATGAATAAACTTGCATTAAAATTTGAAAATGTCATCTAATTTGAAATGAAAATAATTCTCAAAAACGTCATATATTAGAAAAAGTGAATATATTCTACAAACAAAAACACTACAAAATTTTATGCTTTGTATAGAATTATCAAATTAGAAGTTATTTATCTAAGATAAATTAGAAGTTACTTATCTAAGATATCAATTTAATTGTTTCACCATGCAAAACCTAAATACGTAACTCACATAGTTTACAACTTTTTCAATTCAATTTGAAAAAAACACTTGCACAATTGCGTGGATCAAAATCTAGTAGAGTGGTAAAAGAAATTTTTTTCCACTAAACATTGCACTTTCAAATTATAAGAACAATTTTTTATTACCTTTAAAAACTATTCAAAATTAAAGTTTTTAATATTTTTCTTAGATCTCTTATAATCTGTTCTCTTACATCTTATGGTATACCTCTCCATATATCTCTGTTACTATGCAAGACAATTCCCTCTTAGATTTTATGGAACACTTCTTTATATACCTCTAGTTATCTGCAATACATTTCCTTTAACATGTTAGAAGTAGAAAACATAAATATAATCTAATAGAAAACTTTTTTTTTCTTTTTTAGATTTTCTTATTATGTTTATCTCTTAACATGTTAAATATTTAATAATGTGTTAAGTTTTCACAAATTTAGAATTATCCAACACACTTTGAGAAGAAAAAGGATTTGGAGAGAAAAAAGACGTGAATATCCATGTGTTAGTTTCTAGTTTGTACTTTTATTTCTGCATATCTTATTATATAAATCTTGGTTCATCAAAGTTACTAAATAATACAATTGCGACACATAGCAAGTATATATTTAAGATTGTGGCATGTGTTAATATATCTCATAATTAAAAATATATATATAACAACATATTAACAAAAACGAATCTTATTAAA